TCATATGAGGTCAGATTCAAAATCGGTTGACCCCCATGTTTTTCGATCTGTGGAATTTTTTGATTTTTTCATGGAACGTCTCTTAAGTTGTTTTGTTAGATCGAAGAGCTGTAAGCCAGTCAAGAATGAGATGAAGAGCACTCGTTGTCGGATTCTGTCCGATGAGAGGTGGGTGGGTGTGAGGGTGAGGGTGATAGATCTAACTTCACCCTTACCCCCACCCACACTCTAATATTTTGTAATATCATTCACAATTGAATTTGCTAGGTGGTGGGGGCATAATGGTTATGTGACATCGTGTGTATTGAGAAAAATGTTCTTTTAAAAACCCATTTGCTAGAAAAGTATCAGAAGAAACTTGATTTTAGCAGCTGCAGTCTATTTTTAGTACAGTAACGATGAAGAAAAAAATGAATGATTCATTTGAATATATCAATTCGCCAATCGTGAGAAATAATATCCCCTCGCATTGAAATATTTTGCTGTTATACCTTAGTCTACAACAATCGCCACATAATGCTTAGATGAGACATAAGCCACTTCGAACAGTCTGCGATATCTCAAGAGAAAGTAAAAGCGACTGATCTGTCATCAAGTTATCAACACTCTTTATGCAAAGAAAAAGAATATGTACAGAAAAAGAAAGAGCACCAAATTGTTGCTTTTCTCATTCTCTATAGTAATATTATTTACATCGAAGGACCTTTTTTGGAAATTCCATATTCTCTCGTCCAACTCAAAAAAAAGCAACAAGAGTAAGTCAACACACTGTTGACTTCGTGCGTTCGTTTCCTTCTTTCTATCCATTCTACTATCAGGCCCTGAACAGGGATATTTCTTTCATACTACAATATGATGGAGACGTCATTGGTCTTTCTTCTCTTATTCTTCGGGCTTTCTATCAATGGTAATTGTTCTTAGCAGATATTAGTTTTAATTTTTCTCTATAATCAGATGCTGTTCATGTCGCCGCATCCGATGACCAGAAGTTCACACTGCGTGGACGAGTGACTTTTTCCAAGGGTACGCCACCGCCTATCGAGCGTGGAGCTAAGCTCTATGTCGAATTGCAAGACACATCATTGCAAGATGTTCCAGCAACGACGGTCGCAAAGACAATGGTGTTGCGAGTGAAGAAATTTCCGGTGCCATTCACGTTGCGATACACTACGAAAGATGTTGCCAATGCGACAAAACGTCGCAACTCCTTGATGGGTCTTCCAGATTCGGCAACAAGTCACACCTACTCAATGGACGTTAGCATCAGGAGTAACGATGGAAAAATCTTATTGTTTGTAAATGATGTGATGATTCGCGTCAAACCACTGGGAAATGATCGTACGAAAACGATCGATGTGCCTGTCATAGCCGTTCAGAGTAAGAAATTTTGTTGGATTCAGATTATTTTTGTTGACAAGGAGTTAGTAGAGCCATTGTCCTTTTTCGAATGTTAGTATCGATGAAGATTTACGTCATATTGAACAGTATAAATTTCGGAGGATTCTTCTTATCTCTAAAATTTGTCAGATAGCGGGATTTCATTACGCTAATACCGTTTAAATTTCCCAAAACTTCATTCTTTTATCAAAGTTGGTACATTGCTACAACAGTGACTACTTTCTTCAATAGATGTTATCAGAGCTATCAAGTAGTAAAAGTGCAGAAACCAATCATCGAGGAACGTCTGATGTTAGTAATGAAGAGTTACGAGACATTATGCTTCTGTGATGAGTATGTTATTTCCTGATTATGTCGATTCCATGGCGTTGAATGAACTCTCGAAGTAGTATTTATTTTTAATATCTAATTCTAGGATCGCCATCGAGCACCACAGAGAAAAGCAAGACCAGCGGCTTCAAACCACAAAAGTTTCCCGAAGTCGTTGGCAAGAATGTTGACGAAGCAATCAAGATTATCAAGAAGAAGACGGGTTTCACGAATGTAATTGGCGTGAAAGAAGGAATGCCGGTGACTCTTGACTTGCGAAACGATCGTGTTCGTATTTTTTACAACGATAAACGAGTGGTCACGCAAGTTCCATTTGTCGGATGAACTCTGACCAATTTTGATGAAAGATGTTCGAGAAGTTTCATTTCAACTTTATTGTAGCACATTAGTCGTTCATTTTATTGCTTTCTTCCACTATATTATATTCTATATTAAATCCAGATTAATCAATTGAAATTTAGTTTGTCTTAGCAAGCTCCGACAAAAAAAGGAAGGATCTGTAAGCTTATGCTTGTTTAGGTAGTGTTTTTTATTAATGTTTATTTGTCTTCGAATATAATGTGGTTCATAGATGATATGTAAAGTATAAATATATTATGTTGTTATATATTGTTGAGTTATGTTCCAACCAAAAAGAAATGAAGAGTTTTTTAGTTTATGTATTCCTTTTGACAGAATAATATCTGTCTTCTCTCAGAATTTAATACTCAAAAAATTAATAGGTTGATTTACTTGTTCACAAAAATATATTCGAACATCATTTTCTGATGTCGACAAAAAAAACATCGAAAAATAAATGCCGAAAAATAAATGCTGAAAAACAAATACCAAAAAAAAAAATATCGATGTGAAAAATATCGATGCAAAAAATACCGATGCAAAGAAATATTGAAAGAATATTTGTTTAGATGTTACGTCAGAAAAGCGAAAATTTTATTTTAATTAACAAAGAAAAATACAAATGGATTACTAATGAAAATTGACTATAAAAAGTGATAAATTAATGAAATTATTTTTTTCCAACCAACATCGACAAACTTTCTAACAATTGTTCGGCATCAATTTTCTGCTGGTTGTACTGTTTATTTAGGACATTAATTCGTTTTTGAATATCATCTGCTGCATTTGATTTAGGTCGTCATTGAGCACCTGTAGTTATCCGAATATGTGTATGTTGAAATCAATGTTCTTCACCAACAAGACATGTTATAAATGACCAAATATTTGCGTGGGCTCGTTGTATACGTCGATTGAATCTGCTATGAAATCCTAAGTATATAGATCGTAATTTAACATTGAAATTGAAAGAACAGACATACCTTCACAACTGTTATTTGTTCGATATTGATAACCATGTATGTTTCACATTTCCAATGGTACTTCAGTCATCCAGTATTGATCCAAATATAAAAATAATTGATGAAGTTCTTGTTTTACTCTTGAATTTGTTTCTGTACGTAAATTGTAAAACGAAGTTTCGACTTCTTGAAGCGGCATCATTGCTAATGACATTAATTTTCTACAACAGCTTCTTACTTCATCATCACTTGAATAAGCTGTAGCTAAGCCCAAACTTTGAATGCGTCGATAAATCGATTGATTATAATGAAAATAACAACCATTATGAACTGCTCCAGGAAACTAAAACAAAAACAGATACATTTATATAAACGAAACTGATAGAGTTTACTTCAACAGATATTGCTGGCATTAAACCACTCTCAAAATCAGTAATTATCCGCTCGGGTTTGAAGACACGATTCATTGTTGCAGCAACACTTTTGAGTTCTCGAAATAAACATTGGTAAGTTGATTTTTTTCTATCAGATAATAAACCAAGAATACAAGGAAAGCCTATGATTAAAAAAAATCGTATGATTGTGAACTACACTCTAAAAAAAAAGGTTTTGTCGGAAACCTATAAAGGGTTTCCGGGTTTGTCACTATATGAAATCCTTTATAGGTTTCCGAGAAAGCGTTTCCGAGCTCTCGGAAACCTTCAAAAGCAATGAAAAAAGCTCACGATCTCGGAAACCTATTGAAGGTTTTCGAAGACTCGAAAATCTTCAATAAGTTTCCGGCAGCTACGCACTACCCTTATTCTATCCCCTTATTCTAATCCCTTAATCTATCCCCTTATTCTAACCCCTTATTCTATCCTCTTATTCTAATCTCTTATTCTAACCGCTTAATCTATCCCCTTATTCTAATCTCTTATTCCATTGCTTATTCTAACCTCTTCATCTGAGGCCTCACTCTACTCTGTTGTTCTAATTTCTAATCCAAGTCGTTAACCTATATCTATCCCCTTATTCTAACTGCTAATCTAACTTCTTCATCGATATCAAGGGGAAGCAAACTGATTTCTAATGCCAGAAATCAATTTGAAATCAACAGAAATTAATAGAGATCATTGCTATTGTGTGTATATCTCAGCTTGTCAGAATTTTGATATCCATAATAGGGGTAAGAAATCACTGTTACTTGAGAAGGAAAAATTTGTGAGATTGATTTTTTCGTTAGGGCAAGAGTATTTTCCGAAAATGATGGTTTTCGTATAAAGTTTGATCGGAAGCTATCGGAGTCGAGCAATCCAAATCTATAAGTGATTTCGAAAAATTTTCGAGTTTCGATTTTTTTGTCAGGGTGAAGCAATTTCTCATAGTTTTGCCAGCTCTATGGAAATATCCGCATTTCTGCAAAATAGGCCTCCAGTGGCCGAAAAAATCAAGCTGTTAAATTTTGAAAAGCGAGTCACAGATTCGAATTCCTGGACCCCCATGACCTTTGGCCAAACTTTATAGAAAATCGTTATTTTTTGAAAACAGCCTTATCCTAACAAAAGAATGAAAATCACAAATTTTGTAAAACGACTTATAGATTCGGATTCCTCGACCTCGATAACCTTTGGTCAAACTTTATAGAAAATCGTTATTTTTTGAAAATAGCCTTATCCTAACAAAAAAATGAAACTCACAAACTTTTCGTTACCGGTTATTTGGCAACGGAACGGTAGCGAACTTCCTCTAACTCGAAATCGTCAGAAATCATGGAAATCACTAGAAATCAAGAAATCGGAAATCATTTTGTTCCTCTTTGATCTGTATCTGTCCCCTTATTCTACTTTCTTGTTCTACCCCTTTATTCTAACCTCTAATATAACTCCTTAATCTATATATATCCCTAAATCTATCGTGCTAATCTAAGTCCTTAATCTATGTGTATCCCCTTATTCTAACTCGTTGTTGTAATGTCTTATTCCGTGGTCTTATTCTAACTCTTTAATGTATATCTGTCCGCTTATTGTAACCCTTAATCTAACTTCTTAACGTTGATCTGAATTTCATATTGGTGAACATGTGTCCAAAGTATAACGAGGGAAGAAAAACCTAAGTTCGGCACGAAATCGCTTGACTACGATGCCTTTAGAGGGAATATAGTGACCATCCAATTTAGCGCGACTCCTCGATTTTCACAGTAAAATGTGTCATAATACATCCAAATTTTAGGCTATTTGAAATATAAAAACGAATTAGAATTCTTTTGGGAACAAGGCCTTCTTTTACACTTCTCAGATTTCTTATGTTTTAGAAAGCAACTTCACACAAATTAAGTAAGGTTTATGTCATGCATATCGAGCACCGCTTTACCTGAAAATCACACGATAGAACATGAGAATAAAAAAGATCATATTGGAAGGCTAATCGGGTTTTGCATACTACTTAATGGGTTTTCGAAACTTTTTCTCGAAAACTCAAAGGTTTTCGCAACATTCGGAAACCCTAAGGGATTTTCCAGTTATGTTCGAAAACCTTGCTAGATTTCTGGAAAACGCTTCGACCGTTTCCGATGCCCGGAAACCCAAAAGGGTTTTCGAAAAAAAAATATCGAAAACCCAAAGGTATGCGAGGATACGCAATGGGTATCCGAAAAGGTTTTCGAAGCAAAAGCGGTTTCCGAGAATACGGTTGAGGGTTTCCGAATCCGCTCTCTCCAAAATCCATTGGTTTCCGGATGCTCGGAAACCCTCAAGGTATTGTCAGAAACTCAACATAAGTTCGGAAACCCTTCCGGAAACCTAAAAAGGTTTGCGAAAAGGTTTCCGATGGGGTATCGGTTTCCGAGGAAACCTTTTTTTTTTAGAGTGTATAGAGTTCTCTAGGAAAATAGAAGTTCTGTGGAACCCCTAGCCGAAAATAAAACATTATATCTGATCTCTAATCGAAATCTGATATATACAACAAGCTCTTATTTAAAGTAGTGATAAGACTAGACAGGTAATTTGAATATATCAATGTATATTCAGATACTTGAATTAATACAAACAAAAACCATATTCCAAAAGAAACATTCTTTTATTTCATTCATGTTCACTACCGATGCAGCGAATATAAATTCTTTCAGTAATACTTTTATTCTGACGAACTATTCAGTTATTTTGTCGAAACGTAAAAATCGGTTCTCATCCTTGACTTGACATAGTTTTTTCAACTTTTTGTATCTGATATTCCTTATTCAGACCCATTTGACTTCGACTATTGACGTTTATTCAATGAATCCCAATACTTCGAAGCGGCACTTCTGGAGATAACCCAGTGCAGCAGCTAGCCGCGAGTGGCGCCCCGGAGGGGCGCCGATGAGTGACTAATTGCTGCCAGGTCTACTCCCATCTTTTCACAACACTATCCCTCTGTATTTTAAATTCACCTGGTCCAGAATTTACTATTTCAAAACTTCGTTAGTCTAAAGCGTTAGAATTATCGATAGGAATTTTCAAACAAAAGTTTTCTCATGAATTATTTCTCATTTCCGCAATTTGATTGTAGAACTGAGAAACCAGAATATTCTTTGAGGTTCTCATTAAGGAAATCTTAGTGCACTATTCTTCAAAATGCCTAACCGATACAAAGATCTTTAGTGAGATCAGTCTGTAGTATGCTTGCAATGTTAACGATTAACAGTTCATTAGCGCCCCTTTGGGGTACCAGCCACGGCTAAGTCCTCCTTTTACATAAGTGCACTTGAACGACAGTCTCTTATTGTCCATGTAATACAACAGCTACGATATCATTCACATATACCTTTTCAAAACTATTTTCTTTGAATAACAGTAGCTAGACATTGCACATATCAGAATTCCCGAAAACATACCAGGATAAAAGTATCCCTTTTCATAATAGTAATTATAGCATATGACAAATTAATGCCAGGTCTCAATGTTAGACCCACGCCTATCCATGTATGTATTTCCGCAGATGATAGATTTAAAAACACGAAAGAACCTTTCTTATAAGTATCAAACACGACCAAATTCAATAGCTTATTCACTCTTATCGCGTACATTTAACTAATAAATAGTCAAAAACCATTCCATAGTAACTACAAATGACTCTCTTAATTGATAAATATTTTCATAAGACGAAAACAAAGATACAATTTCCAATTACTCTCTTCTTTTTCATACATTTATGCAAAACCGAAAAAGACATATACTGTTTTAGCTGATCATCTACTTCAGCAAATGCACATTCTAAATCCACAAAAAAATATACGAACCGAAAAACTAATTCTTTTCCTTTCAAGTTCGTTTTCGATGCAGTGAACTTAACTGTTTTAATGACGTTTTCCATCCATACATTGTCACTATATTCTATTCTTCGAGAAAAACTGGTCTTAGGATGCATACAAAAATATTTCTCCTTTTTTATCACTTTGAGTCCGTTTTGAAACTCACCAGATCTAACCCCTTCACATTCTCTTGTTTAATCTTTTTAATTTAACGCCCTTCAAAATGCAACTGTTGAGCGCACCAGCTAGTCGCTCGTTGGCGCCCCTTTGGGGCGCCACTCGCGACTAGCTGCTGCAACCTCTGATCTTCTTCTCCCATAAGATAGTTCTTTTCACTTAAACCCTGTTAAATGACAGATAGCTCTTACTTAGAATATTAGATTTATAACACCATCGCTCCACATGAGCAGCTCCGGACCAACAGTTTCCTGTTATTTATTCCTAATTTCTTTAACCCAATGGTTTAGCCAATACGATAAAATTTTATTAGGGCTTCTGGTTTGGAGAATCTTAGTTGATCATTCTTGATAAATGCAGGTTTCATGTAGATCTTTTGCTAAACAACATTAGAATACGTTCGCAATTTTAGTGACCACTAGTTCGCCAACACTTCTCTCAGGCCTTGCTCATAGTCCCTTGTTGCATTTTTGGAATACATTAAAACAATCATTGGTTATTCAGCATTTATCCTACAGGCCGTAACTTCATTTACAAAATTCTTTTAATGCTACTTCTCTCGACTTAAGCAGAGTGCACTCAAAAAAGGCCACTTAACTCACAAACCACTATGAATAATCATGAATCCCACAATGTTGCACACATTAGACTGAGTGCCAATGATTTGTAAACACTGTTTCATCACACTACGACTTACTGAAACACTCAACCCATTAGATCACACTCTGATTCATGTCTACAACGATACTATGCAGAGGCTACCGAAACTAAACAGCAATTACAAACTCCAAATACGCAGAAGGATTGTCCATATTTCGGGTGTCCATTTTTTCAAATGCCTTTTGCTTTAAAAAAATTGACTTTTTCCTTAGACAATAATTCAGATAAAAAAGGATGATTTGTCTCATACAAAAACCTACTTGAGTTTTTGAACAGCTGACTTGAGATTCGGGTTCTCCGACCTGGATTTGCTTTCGTCAACCTTTCTAAAATATCGTTATTTTCTCAAAAAACCCTTTT